ATGCTAGAGCTCCTGAATGGTCATCCAGACAGGATATGGACTTGCCTTGGTGTCAGCCATGGGGTTTTTGATCACCTGATGCAGGTGCTCACCCATCATGGTTTTGTGCCTTCTTGCAATGGAATTTCTGTGGAGGAACAACTTGGGATATTCCTCTACACCTGTGTTACTGGGTTGTCATCCTGGCATGTTGCTGAGAGGTTCCAACACTCACCAGGGACCATCACTAGGTAGGGAGTTCATTGGACTGTCTGATATTTTTCTCACAATTTTTTAGATATTTCAAAGCAATGTTGGCTTTCTTTTCTGGGGGACAATTCTATGCATCCCAAGTGCAATTCCCCACCAACAACACTCCCATATCAACTATGATTACTAGTGACCCATGCTTCTGATTTTTCCAGGATTGTATTGGTGCAGTTCATGGCACTCATATTCAAGCATTCACTGCTGCTGAGGACCAGCCTTACATGAGGAACCAGAAGGGCTACCTATCTCAACACAGTCTCTTCATCTGTGATTTTGACTTCTTCTTCACATATACCCTCACTGGCTTTGATGGGTCAACTGCAGATGCAACCATGTGGCATGATGCACACAGGAATGACTTGCACATGCCACCTGGGAAGTACCTTCTTGCAGATGCAGGGTTTGGGACCTGTGATGCACTTCTGGTTCCCTATTGAGGTGTTCATTACCATGTGAAAGAATGGTGCAAGGCTGGATTAGGGTAAGTTGCTATTCCATCCTGCTCAGTGTACTTGTAACTTCTATTTTATAGACCTCAAAACTGAGAGGAGTTATTCAACCTTCACCATGCTGGACTTAGAAATGCCATTGAACAGATATTTGGTGTTATAAAATGCAGGTGGAGGATTCTTCAAATTCCCCCTGAATATAGCATCCACACCCAAACTCAAGTACCTGCTGCTCTCTGTGCCCTCCACAATTTCATATGGTGCTATGATCCAGAAGAGTTCTTTGACCCTGAACTTGCCATGGACATAGGAGAGGATGATGGTATTGGAAGCCTTGGTGATGGACCAGCAGATGCTGCAGAGAGGAGAAGGGCTGATAATAGGTATGACAACATTGCAGAGATGTGGATTGACTATCAGCACCAGCTTACAATTAGGGGCCTTCTCTGAGCCTGAACATTCAGATTTCATGGTGTACAAATATATGTTCTTACAATTGTTCCACACTCATGTAGAAAAATAACTTCCATTGTCAAAAGGAAGCTAGTCATAGTCATGTACATTTTATTATGTACATATTTGTATAAAGGGGGGGGGTACATTTGTATATTGTATATAAAAAAACAAAACAAACACCTATCTCTGCCCATCCTGGTACTTCATCAGCCAATGCTGCATCCAAATCTGCTTCACCAGCTCCTGATGCTTGAGGAAAATATTCACTTCATCCAGGGTCACACTGAGGAAGTAGTTGCTGATGTTGATCTGATTGTCTGTCAAGAGCTGCAGCATGTTGTTGGTGTAGTCCATGGCAGTGTCAACAAGGGGATTGGTAATGGGTGGTGGGGGCAATGGGGCAGCAATCACATGCATGAAGTTATTGAGCCTGGAGGTGATGGCAGTGATGAATGAACTGCAATCTTCTTCAGCATGCACTTTGGCCAATGGGGGCTGAGATCACTTTGATCCACCTTCAGACATCACAATGGACTCAGCTTTCCTTTTTCCACAACTGATACTGGTGATGGCCAATGACAACAATGACCTGGCTGATGCATGTGACAAAAAACTGGATGGTGCAGAAGGGGGGATGAAGTTTGGATCCATGGACTGCATGTCCTTGTGATGGTGAGTGTTGAGAGCATGTGTCATGTTGAGGAGGGAGAGGGAGGAAGGGGGGGTAGGAATAGTTGAAGTGGTGGGGGGTGTGGTAGAGGCAGGAGTATTGAAGGCAGAGGTCATGGTTGTAGAAGGTGTGGTAGTGGCATGTGGCCAGTAGATAAACTGACCTCAGCCATGTGAGTGGAGAAGGAGCTCTATGCTGGCAAAGTGGGGGAACCTGGAATTGTGAAACAGCTTTGTGTCTTTGTGCACCTGACTAGATGTTTAGTGGATGATCTGACAAGAAAAAAACTACATTACCTTTACATACCAATCCCAAAGATCAGTGTTGTCCAGCAAGATCATTGCACCATGCTCATTGTCATAAGCAAAGCCAGAGGCCACTGATTTAAGATTGGTGATGGTGTAGTAGGATTTTTTAAGCTGGATAATTGTTAGCAAGGCAAAAAAAAAGAATGATACAATGACTTACTGCCTTGAACTTCCACTCACACAATTCAGCTGTCTTATTGCCATTATCCAGACCCAGTGGATAATTATGAGCCATGTGGGCTGCTGTGGCATTCCACATAGCCTTCTTAAAGTTCCCATCACTGGCCTGTGAAAGATGAGAGGCCAAGAAATCCAGTATTGCACCTTCCTCCTCTGTTGTCCATACTACAGCTTTCTTGTGAGTCCTGGGGGGAGGCAGGGGGTTCCATGGGTCTAGAGGATTGATTGTAAGGCCATGTGAGCACAATGAGTGGGTTGATCCCACAGATGAGCCAGACATTTGATGATCACAGTAACTGGGTGACAATGGTTGCATACCTCAGGTGGATGCACATGATAGTTCACATCACATGACCCTCTTAACTGAAGCTGAAGTTGAAAACTTGGACTTTGCATTCACAGGGTGAACAATGCCTTACAGTTTGTTCATACTGTAAGTTTTTACCAATAGACAAGTTACCCCCAAAGATGAGAAAAAGTCAAGACTGCCCCAGACTGCCCCTAGACTGTCCCCTACACCACCTTTCCTTTGCTCAGGCTGTAGGAGCCCCTTTGGTCTTACTCACTCCCTCTCAGATGCTGGTACTCCATCCACAATTCAGTCTTATATCTTTCCTCAAATATGGAGCCCACTGCAAGGGGCTTCTGTCTTAGCGTGGCACCCCTCCAAACAGTCTCAGATTCATTTTTGCAGTCTCCTGCTTCATTTTTGCAATTTTCAGGCTCAGTTTAGCAAGTTTGGCCTCTCGGCCTCGTTTTCACAGTCGCATTAGTCGCATATTCGTGTTTTCTCGCTCGCGCGCATTCGCATATCAACTATTCACACTCGTGTTACCCCCCGACATCATGCTCGGCCTTAGAATTCCGTGTCGAGGCTCTCCCGAAGCTCCGAGCTTCTCTGGGCGCCCCGAGGACCTTCAACATTATTTTGATGACATAAGCGACTTCTGTGATGGATACAGGCTCTCGGATGGACACGTGCGCATCAAACTCGCACTCAAATATGCGCCTTTCGATTCGGCCAACCTCCGGTCGCATTTCGTGGAGGATAGTGGTGGAGACTGGACATGTTTTACCTCAGAAGTGGTCCGACTGTACCCGGAGCTAGAGCAGTCTTGCAGGAACCGGTTTTTCAGGCTTAGAAGTGCACTTGCAGGCTCGGACACCGTCTCCATATCTTCTCTCGGCGAGTATTTTCGCAGTTTTTGTTGTTATTAGCAGTCTCTCGAAAAGCAGAAAGGGTCGACATCTCGTCTACCCGAGATGTTTTATTTCGGGTTCCCACCCGAGTTCAGACACAAGCTCCTCGAGTGTCACAGCAACTCGCCAGACGAGGCGCTTACTGTTGGTAGTATCATAGGTGCAGCAAAACGGATCCTCGCACTTTGGAATGGCCTCTGGAGGTGTTCGAAGGTCGACGACTCACGCGTGCAGCCACCACGCAGCTCGGACAATCGCCCACCCCACTGTCATATTCATTCTGCTTCTTCTGCGGACTTTCGGGTCATATACGCGCAAGCTGCCATTCGTACAAGTCATATTTGGCCGCGGGAAGGTGTTGCCTTGTAAACGGTCGCGTTGCACTACCTACCGGACAGGAAATCCTGCGCGAGGTTGCCGGATGGACTCTGTGAGACCGCCTGGACAACTGAGCCTCGCTGACAAGCCAGCCCGAGTTGCTCTTGGTAAGCGAGCCTCCATCCGTCGCGCGCACACAGCTGGAGGAAGGTAGTTGTGTGCATGGGGCTCAATTGGCCTCGTCACCCGCTCAGTCACCCGCTCAGTCACCCGCTCAGTCACCCGGTCGGTCGCTCTCGCATCTATGTCCACCCACACTCCCGCCTTCTTGCGACTTAGTCGACCCGCTCTCATACGTACCAACTAAAGCAGCTGTGCTGCCAAAGGGTAAGCCCAGTCGCGCGCTGCCAGATGGGCCATCCAGCAAGTCGTCGCCACCCAGCCCTCATTTGGAGTCGTTGAGCACGCGGATTTTGGAGGTGATACCACTGACTGTGCGTGCTCGCAGTCCGTCGCCCGTACGCCGCCCAGTCGCGTTGTCAGGATGCCCAGTTGCCATACCAGCTGCATACTCCCGCGCTCCATCGCACTCGCGCACTCGCAGCCGCTCGCCACTGCTATCGCACGCGCTCACACAGCTAGTCGTGGGTCAGCCCGCTATACAGCCTCGTCCGCCACCGGTTCCACCCGAAACAGTGGACCTCATAGAGTGGTAACCTCGCTTCGGCATGGTCTCTTTCGTGTGCTATATAGACTTCGCTTTTCATCATTTTTCTTTGGTCATTTTTGTGTTACTTAGTTTTTCTGTTCGTACACACTTGTCCCATTCCCAACGGAGCAAGGCCAGCACGTCAAGATTGTATCTCGCGCGCCTCATCGCTTAGCCTCTCGCTTTTCTGCGACCTTGTACTACTTGGTGAGCGCTTTCCAGGGACCCCAGGAAAGTTTCACCGCGCTCAGCGGTTCCAGATTTGTTCCATTCTGGCTATATCTCGCGCAATTCTGCGCCGTGTCTCTCGCTTTTTCGCAGACTGGTACTACACGACAAGACCTTTCCAGAGATCCCAAGAATGTCTTGGCGCGCCCAGTGGTTCCAGAGGTATTCGCGTTCTTGCGAGAAGGCTCACCCCGAGGACTTGCTGTCGTAGCTCGCGTGGTTCAGCACCATTCCTATCGCTTTTCGAACCGTTTGTTCCACTCGCTGAGACCTCTCTGGGGAGGCCTTTCTCGTCTTGTTCCATACAGCCGTTGTTGAGATGTTGCCATTGTCGCGTTTGGAGGGCAGTTACCGCCTCCTGGAGTTTCGTGTTGACCCCCTCTCCCCATCTTCAAAGACTTCCTTGCGTATCTCGCTCGTTTCACCATCGCGCCCCTCGCTTTTTCGCGCAGTTGTACTACATGACGAGAGCTCTCCAACGATACCTAGAACGCTTCGATGCGCTAAGCGGTTCCAGAGAAATTCTGCAGTTTGTGGGAGGGCGCACTCTCGAAGACCCTCGCGCGCCTCGCTCGTTTCGCCGTCGCGTGTCTCGCTTTTTGGGTCGCACACTCTCCTCGAGGAACCCTTCCCGTCGACTCCTGGTTCGTGACATTCCGCGCAGTCATTGTTGAGATATGGTCGTTGTCGCTTTCAGAGGTCTGCGACATGACTTTGCAAATAACTCGGCATTGGGAGGTCGGATTGGTATGATTCCTTTTGTCCCCGGCTCTTCTACAGGCCGTCTGTAAGCACCCGAGGTTTCGTATCGATCGCCCGAACCGTTGTCGTGCAAGGGTCTTCCTTTCCCCCTCCCCTTGAACACTTTCTCGTGTAGCTCCTTTGTTTCGCCATCGCGCCTCCCGCTTTTCGACGTGAACGTACTACTCGTCGAGTGCGTTCCAATGGTGTCCAGAACGTTTCGACGCGCCCAGTGGCCCTGGAGAGGTTTCGTGATTTGAGCGAGGGCACACCGTCGAACCCCTTCTTGCATATCTCGCTCGTTACGCCGTCGCGCCTCTCGCTTTTTCGGCTGCACACTCCCCTCTGGGAACCCTTCAAATCGACTGCTTGCTCGTGAAATTTCGCGCAGTCGTTGTCAAGATATGGCCGTTTTCGCGTTCATAGATCTGCGAGACAATCTTGTGAATATCTCGAGGTTGGGTGCTTCGATTGATGTGGTTCCTTTTGCGCCAGACTCGCCAAGAGGTCGTCCACGAGTCCCCGTTGTTTCGTGTCGATCGCCCCAGCCGTTGTCGCGCGAGAGTCTTTCCTCTCCCCTCCCCCAGGACGCTTTCCCGCATATCTCCCCCGTTTCGCCGTCGCGCCTCTCGCTTTTTCGGATGTACACTCCCCTCGATTAACCCTCCCCGTTGACACCGCATTCATGAAATTCCGCGCCGTCGTTGCAGAGATATGCCCCATTTGGTCGTCGGAGGCAGCTGTGGACGAAATTGCGAATATCTTGGGACTGGGTGCCCCGTCTCCCTTCAATCCTTTTGCGACTGGTTCGTCGCAGTCCCCTCTGTGGCCTCCTCTCGGCTTGTAGCGCTTCGAGTCGTTGTTGTTGATCAACAGTCCCCCTTCCCTCGCATCCCTCGTTGAGTGTCTTGGTCATTCATTTCAGCGTTTATGCTCGCTAGTGCTGGTGCTTCCTCTCTTCGGGTTGACTGGGGACAGTCAACATCTAAGGCTCCCCTCAGGTGTAAGGAGAGAGATCTCCTTACTATGGGATTGGGCATTAATTCCTATTTTATTTGTTTTATGGTTTCTTTACTTACTGTTGTGGGTACTATACTTGAGTACTGTAGTTCGCTTTTTGTGTGCTTAGTCAGCACTTACTTAGAGTTTGTTCATACTGTAAGTTTTTACCAATAGATGAGTTACCCCCAAGGACAAGAACAAGTCCAAGACTGCTCCAGACTGCCCCTAGACCATCCCCTACACCACCTTTCCTTTGCTCAGGCTATAGGAGCCCCTTTGGTCTTACTCACTCCCTCTCAGATTCTGGTACTCCATCCACAACTCAGTCTTATATCTTTCCTCACAGCAGAATTTGCAATTAGGGAGTAGGAAGGAAGGAGAAGCTGTTCAGCAGCTAGTTCTGAATCACTGGATGGTGAGGGCAACAAAGAAGTTAGTTCTGAAAGAGGCAAAAGTTCTTGACACTGCACAGGAGGATCAAAAGGTTTGTCAAAGTTGAAACCTCCTGGAAATGCTGGGTAAAATGCCAGGGACCCTGGGCTCTGAAAGATCTCATCTAAACTGAGATCTGAGTATGATGAGTGTGGCTCTGAAATATCTCTAGGATCAGCTACCAGGAATAAGATTTCTGATGAAGAGATAGATAGTCTGTGGAAGGGCTCTAGGAGCTCTTCAAGTTTGGTTCTTTGATGAGTGGGTTGTAAGGATCTCCTTTCCAGATCTACAGACCCCTCACAGTGGGCTCCAAAACATTGTGGGACATGACTTCTGGGAAGCATGCAACTAGAGGAAGGCTGTAGAGAGAATTCCCTAGGAACATCCCCAGGGGTGCTGGATGGAAGGAGAAGTCAAGGATAAAACTAGAAGGGGAGGGGTATTCATGCAAGGGCCACAGAATTTAATTCCAGAGGGATGTGGATGCATGAAGAACAGCAAGATGGGTATATGAAATTTTGAGAAGCCATTATGTGATGAGAAGAGTGTATTTGAGGTGAGAGGGATACAGGATAAGGCATGCAGGATTGGAAGATGCAGGAGACATGAGGACCACTGGAGACACTGTAGACACTGTAGACTCAGGAAAGGATGACAGACACCAGCAAATTATAGATGCACATGAAATAGTCCAGCAAATAGTAGATGAGAGTAAAATGGAACAATGGTAAGGGGTATCTTCCAACAGAACAAGGGTACATGTACAAGTGAGAGGGGGAAACACAGGAGGGCAGAGCATACTGGCACAAAGTCCAGCTTGTGGAATTTGGGGCAACAGGGGTGACCAGAGTTTTATAGAGGTGACTGGCATGGATGAGTGGTGATGTGGGGCAGTGGCTCAGCTACTGAATTCTGGATGACCCTGGGCAAATGTGGAATTTCCATATCAGCTCATTGATGACTGGGTGACATGCTGAAGGTCAGGAGAAACTCTGAAGGCAGCAGGGGTTGGAAGGAAACACAAGGTTATGAGCAGGAAGAATTCTGAAAGCATCTGAAGGCCTAGAGTGATAGGGGTTTGTCAGAGGCCTGTGGAATTTAGTGACAGATTCCTGTTCCAGCCTCAGGGAGTATACAGCTCTCTACACTGCTCACTCCAATCTAGAACTCCATCAGATAGACATCAAAGGGGCATATCCAAATGGCACACTCACCAACAATGAAATCATCTACATGTGTGTTAGGGGTTATTCCCCAAAAATAGGATCTACTTAGTATGGGCATGTGATACAGAGGTATCACATGCCTCCTTGTATATAAGTGTCATCTTGAAAACTTTAGATAGATATCTTTTTTGTCTCTATGTCTTACTGTGTGAATACCATATGGTGCACTTTGTGCACATTGTGAGTCAAAGTGTGGAAAGGTGGTATAAACCAACCAAAACCAACACCAAAGACAAATAATGGGTGAGTGGTGGTTTTGCCTCTGCAGAACCTGGAGTGCAGAAAAAAATCTAAAATGTGGGGGGGGGGTCTTCAAGTGGAGTGCTCCTGGCACAAGTCAATGACAAGTTACACAGGAGAAGATGAATGAATGCTGATTGAGAAGGGGATGCTGAATGGAGCAAGGGTGTTCAGCCAAAAGGACTCCTAGCACAAGTTGATGTCAAGTTACACAGGAGTGGATGGATGACTAAGCAGGTGTGCTGACAAAGCACAGATGATACTTCAGATAATGAATGAAGGTAGATAGACCCTTATTGGAGCCTCAACTACCTAGGATGATGAATGGGGATGGTTAATCTCTTCCAAATGAGCCTCAACTGTCAGTGATGAGATATGCACTGAACTGACTTCTGGACTGCTTCTTGATTGCTTGTGGATTGCTTTTGTACTGCTTGTGGGTTGTAGCTAAGTACACAGGGGTTTATATACTGTGGGGGGAGTACAGCTTGTGACAAACAAGGCACAAACACTTAGTAAGTAATGAGTAAGGACTGAGTAATCATGATGAGTAAGCAAGAAATGAAAAGTAAGCAAGCAAAGAAGATTGGTAAGTATTGGCAATAAACAAGTCAAGGACAGTCAAAATATCACAGAATGAGTCAAATAAAGTCAGAAACTGAGTAAGTGCACTGATATCACATTAGGGGGTGGTGATGCAAGTCAGATCTTGGTGGAGACATCTCTAGATCCAAAGATGGCATGACAGATGGATGGTGTTTCCAGATAGGGAAGTATTAATTCCAGAATTGAAGGGCATGAGTCAGGCATCAAAGGGGCTAGGGTGTTGGGGGTCTGTAGGGCAATGGGAGCATAAGCAATCATGTCTCCCACTCTTTCATCCTCTCAGTGGAGTTAACAAAAGCTTCATGGACAGGGCTTTGATGGAGGAGGAGAAGGGGGGATGTCTTCTGCTGGATCTTGCAGTAAGAAGGCAAGATGCATGTCATACTCATCATGAATGTGATCAGGTAGGTGGGAGAACAGTAGACTATGCTGGAGCTGTTGCAATGCAGGAAGAATGATGGATGAGATTGGAATAAAGATGGTGCAGGGAGCAGGGAGGAACAATCCATATGCTTCATCAAATAGGGAGACCAAAACAACCACATAAGACCTTTCTAACTGAGTGACAGACCTGAGGTGACCACAGAATGTCCTTCTGGAAGTCATACTGACAAGGAGAACACACTGACCAAGCTGCATGGGATGAGACAGGGCTGACAACAATGGGATGAACCAGGAGGCTTCAGGATGGAAGCTGGTGGGAATGCCTGGCTGATATATGTAGCCACTGTCTCTGGCAAATGAGACAAGTGAGATGATCAATGAAGAGGCAGCCATGATGATGGACTTAGCAAAATGAGTGTCTGATGGATGGAGTGCTGTAGAAATGCATAGGGTGTGAGGAACCTTGCCAAATTTGGAAGGCAGAACTGTGTGGCTGAGCACTTTAAGTGAGTGTGAGAACAGAGTCAATATCTTTGGAAATGGTGGAGATATGATGAAAACTGGAATGCCATACATGGGTGCTAAAAACCTTTAACATGTGCTTAACTTGCTTCCTCTTTTCTCTTTAGCACTGATGACTCATTCTTGTGTGAATGATGACTGTTAACATCCAGCAGTCTTTCTATGCATGAGGCCTTTAGTCTTCATCTGCATGGCATGGACATTGCATGCAACTTGTCAATGAGTTAGGCAGAGTCAGCTGTAACCATGTCCACAACACCTTTGGTGTGTGACAATGTGAGCTTGAGACAACCCAAGTATAACCTTACAATTTTTTGAAGTGCATTAACAAGTATTTGCAAAGATGCACACAACCTGCTCTTATGCACAAGCAACAGCAACTAAACTGCCCATTGGAGGGGGTGACCCCCCTCCAGACCAAAATAATCATCAGAAAGAAAAAGGACCTCCTGAGGTCTGAAAGGATAAGAAAAAGAAACAGAAAGAGGATCCAACCTCAAGGATCACAGTGCAGGGTGCTAATCAAGAAGTGGGTGCTATGTGGCCTGAAAACAAAGCACCCATACCCAGAGAGTTCCAAGTGTCAGTAACAATGGAAGAAAGTACTGAGAGAGGTACAAGGGAAGTGAGTCTGGCAGAGGTATTCATCAAAGTCACAAGTCCATTGACTCCTCAACTATCTGAATTAGAGAACTCATGGGTGATGCATAACCCAAACAATCCTCAGGATATTGAGAATCTGTTAAGTTGAGTGTACATTGAAGGCAAGATGCCCTCAATGAGAGAACTCAACAAGGACATTCCCCTTGATCCTCAGGGTAGCCTTAGCAGCTATGAATGAATTTCTGGAAAATATCCAGCAGCAATGGAGGGACTATGGGTATGGACCTGAAAGCTTCCATAACCATGGGATAGACCCAGGTGAGCATCACACCAATATGATAGAGCATATCAGATGAGCCCTTGCAATTGAGAACCTTGAGGAGAAAACTAGTAGGGCTAGCAGCCCAGACACTAGGACAGCAACAAAGAGGGAAGAGGTAACTCCTCCTGCTCTGCAGGATAGACCTGCCTCAAGAGAAATTTATAAAAATGAACAAGAACATTGTTCAACACAGGGGTATTTAACCCCAGGAAGGCTACCAACAGGGCGAAGCTTTAGTGCCCCAGTCAGAAGTAGAAGCAACAGGAGTGGTCTTGCTCCTAGCATGCCAAATCAACTGGCATATCTGTCTGGGAAAAACTCAGACATCATTCACCATATGTATGGAACTAGAAGAGGAACAGCTATCCTCCATCAGATGGCATGAGACCATGCTATTGTGGCAAGGAATGCAGTCAGAGGTGGACCTCCAGAAGATGGAGGACCCCCTGATGATGGTGGAGATAGTGATGGGGAGGATTGGAATCCCCCATGAAGGAGTGAAAGCCATGGACATCCCTATCTGGGAAGAGGGAATGAACTGCCAAGAGACAGCCCCCCTGAAGGAAGGAATCATGGGGGAGGCCCACCAGGAGGTGGTTTCCCTGGAGGAGATCTCCCCTCTGATGATGAAGATGACAATCTTTATGGTCATGGAGGCCACAGGGGAGGCCCCACAAGAGGTCAGGGAAACTGACCTAATTACTTAAAGGGATTCACCCTGGGAAATACAAGATATATCAACTTCATGCTAAAACAGGTATGCTCAGCATATCTGGGAGCAAGTGGGCCATCCCACAGGACAATTGGGACCTGAGGTTAAAGCCATGGGTGTCCCAAAGCCAGGAAAATATAAAGGCCAGGACAACCTCAAGGAGTTTGACAACTGGCTAGGACAGCTGCTCAAGTACTTCCATATGTTCAAGTGACAGGCCCAGACTGCAATGCAGACAGGGTACTGTACACCTACACATACTTGGAGGGGTTGGCCTCCCAATGGTATGACCAGGAGGTTGAATCCCCTAATAGGCCAATTAGGGACTGGTCCTTCAAGGACCTGATCTGTGGACTCTTCAAATGATTTATCCACAAAGCATCTGCACTAGATATGAACATGAGAAAGGGACTCTTGCATTCTACAACAACCTAAAACATCATGCACACTGAATGGTGCAACCTCCAGATGATTATTCATTCTGAACAAAGTTCTTGCATGGATTACCACATACAATAATCAAAAGCATATTTGATGCTTACAGGATTTCCACTGAGCACTTGACAATTGAGGAGATCCTCAAAGAAGTGTGCCACATGGAAACAGCACAAAAAGCCATAAATATGCATATGAGATTGAGCCACATCAGCTCTGGAGGGAAATCCTTCCAAGGATGAAGTGGTTCATACTCACATGGGAAGAAGGGCAATCATAACCCTTCAACAAATGAGAACTTTAAGTACATAAAGAAAGGGGACACCCTTTATTGACAAAAGACAAATCCCCCCTCAAAAGGGAATAAATTCATAAAGAGGGATGGCTTGGACCATCAATCTCATCAGAAAGAGCAGAATTGCTCATATGATGAGGGGAAGCAACCCCAGAAATTCCTAACAGGTATCACTGGCTACAATTGCAACAGAGAAGGCCACATGATGCCAAGTTGTCCTCTTCCTCACAAGGATAAGAGCAAAGCTATGGCTAAGCCATGGCTATATGCAGTCAACATCCAAGAGGACACAGAGCATGAACATGCATGCATAGATGACAAAGTAGAGGTAATACCGAACAACCCTTGATGACAATGAGGTAGTACAGGTGTGTGGGAAATACAGATGGTTGCCCCTGAAAATACAGAGTCAGCAGGACCCAACAAACTTATCAATACCTTTGAGACATACTCAGAGGTAGATGAGGAAGATGAGCCAGTGGCATATTTTGGTGCAATGGACCCTGAAGATGAACCTCTTGAGGAAGAAGTGGTCTATTGTGCATCAATACATGCAGAAGTTCTGGAAGGGCAGATGCCCTCTGAGGGTGATGCCCCAATGCAAGAGGATGATCCTCTGATACAAGAAGACAGTCCTGGTAATAATGTTCCATGAACTGAGCATGGAATGACTGGATCTATCCCTGACATGTACAAGATACTGAGTGATGGGATTGGTTGGACCTATATGGAGCTGTACATGAGTTTGCATGTGACAAGTGTAGCCACCATGTGGATCACATAGCTGAGGGGCTACTAAACAGTAATCCATCTCTAGTCAGGGTTCTTGCAAATACAGTGACTTCCAAAATTGATTCAATGTTTGCACATTTTGGGTTGTTTGTTGAATTGATCAGGAACAAAGACAAATAAGACCAAAGTGTAAGTTAATGACATAAACCATTTGCACAGGGCCATCCATCAAAAAAAAGATTATGTAATTTGAATTAGTATCAATGGCAATATACTTGATTTAAATTGCCATGTCATTGAATCAATTTTGTAACTATGTATTGGATCCATCAGAATCCAACCAATATCACATAAAACAGTTTCAAAAATCATCAAAGATGGTTGCTATGGTTATTGTACCTTAGCAACCATTTCAGTCCAAGCTATCTAACCACTGTCTATGTTGTCAATGCTTCCTAACTATACTATGCACCCCATCTCCTCTGCTCAGAAGGCAAACATCATTTCTCTGGCCTATAATGGTCATTCTACTTGCACTATTGCCTCCAGGCTGGGTATCAGCCAGCCTACAGTCTCCAGGGTGCTCAAGAACCTTCTTCCTGATCAACAAGCACCTTCTTCTTGATGTCCTGCTAAGCTTTCATCCACCTCTCAGCATGCTATTATTACACAAATCACCACAGGCAAGGCCACCAATGCTGTTGAGGTTACAAAGAACATCAATTCCATAATCTCCAATCCAGTCTCCTCACAAACAGTCAGAAGGGTCCTCAGAAACCATTCATTCAAGGCTGTAACAAAGAAGAAAAAACCACTCCTTTCCATAACTCACAGGAAGAAGTGATTAGCCTTTGCTCTGAAATACAAAGAATGGACTGTGGAGGACTGGAGAAGGGTTATCTGGTCAGATGAGACCAAAATCAATAGGATTGGGTCAGATGGGAAGGTTTGGGTGTGGAAACAGGATGCTTATTGAGAGAGAGATACAGGGAACAGTCAAGCATGGAGGAGGAAACATTATGGTATGGGGATGTATGGGCTGGGAAGGTGTTGGCCACCTTGCAGAGATTGAGGGGAGGATGGATGCCAACCAATATGTGGACATTTTGGAGAGCCAGTTGCTTCCTAGCTTGGGAGATTCTGGAATTCCTTTGAAGGATGTTATCTTTCAACAGGACAATGACCCAAAACATACCTCCAAAAAGGCCAAGAAGTGGTTGGAGGACAACAATATCAATGCCCTAGACTGGCCTCCACAGTCTCCAGATATGAACCCCATTGAACACCTCTGGAATCACATCAAACAGGAGCTCAACAAGTATTCAACACAGCCAAAGGGAGTTTGGGAGGTTTGGGAGAGAGTGGCAGTGGTGTGGAATAATATAGACCCAGGGGTGTGTCAGAATTTAATTGAAAGTATGCCTAGAAGGGTCCAAGCAGTGATAAAAGCCAGGGGAGGTCATACAAAGTATTAAAATTATCTGTTTCTATATCTCTGATACACACTTCCAAAATTGATTCAATGACATGGCAATTTAAATTGAATATACCTTTATGGATACTAATTCAAATTACATAATTCTTTTTTTGATGGATAGTCCTGTGCAAATGGCTTATGTCATCAACTTACACTTTGGTCTTATTTGTCTTTGTTCTTGATAAATTCAACAAGCAACCCAAAATGTGGAAACATTGAATCAATTTTGGAAGTCACTGTAACAAGAATCATGCTTGATGGGAATATGAAAGGGGCAGGGAGGATGGAAGGTGTGCTCCAATGGAGACACCAAATCTTAGTGCCTGGTGCACTAGGGTGGCCCTTCACCTACTAGTGTATCACCTCCAGTGTATGGAAGGACATTGAAGGGATGCCCTTCAAGAGATATCAATAGCATGTGAAGACATGCATTGTGTGGCTCAACCCCAATTAACATTGGATGAACCCTTGGGGAATGCTATGATCGATCTACAGCTGCAGAGCATCACAACCCCTAATGTCTGAATATATCTGGACACAGTGGTAATCAAAACACCATGGGGAATGGAGTGGATAAATAGAGATGAGATGATCGAGTACTTGCCTACCTCCTGAGAAGAGGACAATACAGTAAGAAGTGCATCACTTAGGATAAGTGAGGACAAGATGGATCTAGACCCCCATCAAGCAGAACAACCTGAAGTCACAGGTGGAACCTGGACTTGGTCACCAGCTTACAGAGCAACTCACTCCAAGCATTGTCCCAAATGCCAACAATGCAGGGAACACATTGACAAGGCTGCAGCTGAGGAGAATACCTCACTCACCATCACACTGCAGTTCCCTATGCAACTTGCATTCTGCAAGTACAATAGGGGCTGGGAAGACTGTGACCATGCCCAAATGGAGGGGCATGGCCTGAACATTGATTGCATTCAGTGTGCAATATGTGTGATGGCTAGTCGCATCAGGTCCCTCAAAGCACAATGGGTACAAGCATTGTGTGATATCCAATGCTTGTGCACAGCTGCACAGAACAGGAATGATATTCCTGGGGAGCTGTATGATCAGCTCCATACAACTGAATGTTGCATAAGTTGTCCTAACTCAAATAATAACAAAGTCAGGATATAACCTGACAATATGGTGGTGGAAACACCACACAGAGATATAATCATCAAAGGACACCACATCCACAATAACCCACATATGGCTGCAATGGATTTGAAACCAATAGCAAAGCCACTGACATGCACCTCTTGGTATGCAATGCATACTAAGCAGGAAGCAGGAACCTGCCCATGAATCACACCAGAATTGTGCATGTGTGTAATGGTAGATACCATCATAAATGACTGTAATGCCTACATGATGATTGACACTGGAATCACTGGAAACTTTGTGAGCCCAGCTTTCACCAAGGTCATGAAGATGAAAGTGTTTCCACTTGTATGCTGCAATTGGGCTGCATAGGTAGCTGATCAAAAATTACACATGGAGGACTCTCCATGATAAAGATGGCCACCACCAGACTGACTGTTATTTCAATGTGGCTAATATCAATTGCTATGACTGTATTCTAGGAATCTTGTTCCTTAGGCAGCATAAAGCAGTGCTCAACTTCGCTGAAAAGTTGATGACAATCACAGGCAAGAAGGTCCTCATGCTCATGGAGCCTGAGGTCGCCAGAGAGGGGCACCCATGCCCCCCTAATGCCACCACCTCCTCAAGCAAATGACTTGCAAGGCTGTCACAGCCTCATGAGGGCTTGCTGGGGGAGGGCAGTTAGAGTCAAAAAGTGAGGCCATACTTGCAGTAATAAAACCAATACAAAAAAGAGTGTTGGAGGATAAAGAGATACCTCACCTAAGGGAGCAATGGTTCAAAAAGTTTAGATGAAGGTTCAAAGGTGTCAAACCAAAATTACCTCCATTATGGGAGGTAAACCACAGGATTCCCCTGATTGACAAGGACAAGCAGTACTCATACCATTTGCCTTGTTGTGCTGATGTGTTGAAGCAACAGTTGTTGGATAAAATCCATCAGTACACAGATGCAGAGTGGTGGGTGCTGAAAAGCATCCCACAAGCTGCACCTATGCTGTATATACCAAAGAAGAATGGCAAACTATGAACAGTCATTGACTGTTGTAAAAGAAATGAAAACATGATAAGGGATGTAACTCCCTTTGCTGATCAGGACCAGATCAGGATGGACAATATGAGAGCAAAGCATTGCTCGAAGATCAACTTGTCAAATGCATATGAACAGGTACATGTTGAGCCTGAAGACATCTGGAAGACAGCCTTCTCAATGATTTATGGCACCTTTATAAGCCCATGCCCCTGTGACATTTCAACACTTTATGACTGTGATCTTCAGAGATCACATAGGACATTTTGTATACACCTACCTTGACAATATATCCACCTACAGCAATACACTGGAGGAGCATGAGCAGCACCTCCAGATAGTGTTTGAAACACTATGTCAGGCTGACTTCTTCCTTGAAAGAGAGAAGTGCAAATTATATGCTGAGAAACTCAACTGCCCTGAGCACATAATAGACACCAAGGGAGTGCATGCAGATAGAGACAAGATGTCTCAAATTAGGAACTGGAGAGTACCTAAGTCACTCAATGAGGTTCAATGGTTTGTTGGTCTTGTAGAATACCTGGCACAATTTATGCCAGATATATCAGTGTACATGATGCCATTAACTGGGATACAAAGAAATGGACATCCATTCCTGTGGAGGGAAATCCCCAACTGATGCTTCCAGATGATTAAGGACCTGACCTGCAAGTACCCAGTATTGTGGCCAATAGACCCAAGGAGGGAAGAGCCAATATGGCTCATCTGCAATGCATCACTCTATGGAGTAGGTGCACTGTACAGGAAAGGACCCAAATGGAAGACCTGCCAACCAGCAGGCTTCATGTCAAAAAAGCTGAGTGATGCTCAACAAAACTATAGGACCTTTGAGCAAGAGACCCTCATGATAATCAAAGCTTTACTAAAATGGGAGGATAAACTCCTTGGGTTTAAGTTCACAATAGTGACAGACCATGAGGCACTGGGATACCTCAAGACCCAATGAAAACTGTTGAGCTGACAGGTCTGGTGGATAGATTATATGACATGCTTTGATGCAAACATAGTATATGCCAAAGGTTCTGAGAACCAAGTGGCAGATTGCCTATCCCATTACTACAAGGAAGGAGGAGACATCTCCGATGAGAGCATTGAGTGGGCAAATGCCAACATGAGATGAAGAGGGAGATGACCTCCCTCAGGACAGATGGCAAGAGCTGAGACTATCAGCAATGGAAGATCAGGGAGGAACTCTTTGTAAGAGTAACTGGCTAAAGGAAAAATGGGAGAACCGCATCCTGGAGGCTCAGGAGATGGCCTTGGATACAGAAAGGAATGATGAGGAAACCCCT